ATATATATTATAGCCTTATATAATAATATAGCCTTTTTGTTTAACGAAGAGAATCTCTACAGTGTGCACACCCTTATGCCGGCCACTGGGGCCACAGAGATGAAACTGATTCCTTGTCTGAGCTCATTTATGATTACATATCAGGATTTCCAACTAACTGGGCATCAGTTGAGTTACAAGACCCTCCTGTCAAAGAGCTGGGGCACAGGACCAGGTTCTAGGCAAGACAGGCATCCAGACGCTCTTAGAGAAATAGGATTAACTTGGGGGAGTGAGAAGAACTGAGACTGGGTGACAATCCAGGAGCTCGGATGGGCCTGGACCTCTGTCTACATCAGGAAGGGTGACTTAATTCAAAATCCTACAAGACAGGATGTAGGGACTGAGCTTGAAAATCAGTTGGAGTCTGTGAAGTTGCTCTGAGGAGCTCAGGAAGCACAGGCAAGGGCAATAGAAAAGTGGATCACATGCTACTGCAGTTTCTTAGGTACACGTAACCACAGAGCTTTTGTGTAAATACATTGTGCAGGAAATATTTCTCTCAATAATGCCTAAGATTTCCAGTGTTAGATGTTCACTCATCCATTCATCTATCCATCCATCTGTCCACCTGTCCACCCATCCATCCTTCCTTCCTTCCATCAAGTAATTCATGAACTGGAGAACATTGCACTGTATTTGCCAGAACTCTTAGGGAGAGTGCTATGGTGCTAGATGTGGTCAGAGGAATATTCTGTTAAGCTGAATGAGATGAAGAATAAGAAGCTCAAAGACTTTGCTTAATGAATAGAAGTTGGTAATTCCTATACTCTTCAAGAGGGTGGGTTGTGTTATTTGCAGTTTTTATTTTACTGAATTGGGTATTGCAGGTCTAGGCTACAGCTGAATTGCTAAGGACATGGAGAAACTGAGGCAAAACTATTCTTCAATTTTCATCTCTTTGCATATAATCTGTCATTATACTTTATAACTTCACCTTGAATGCATTCCTTCTCCACCTCTATTGCTATTGCTCTAATTCAAATCCTTATTGGATCTTACCAGAACCATTGCAAAGATTTTCTATCCAGCCTTCCTGCCTTCTGTCTCTCCTTCTTCCACTCCATTCTCCATATCACTGCTAAAATGATCTTCCTAAAGCTCATATCTAATTATGTTAATCCCTTGCCTCAAAATATTTGACCGTAAGTCAGCTTTCTCTGACACCCACAGTCCTCTGCAGCACATGTGCCACAGGTTCGCCACCACTGTCCTAAGTGGTAAAGTCCAGATCCTGTAGCACGACATTTAAAACTCTTTACGCCTTTATCACCTACAGATTTCCTGCCATTCTTAAAATTCCTTTGCATTACCCAACAGCAAAAATTCTTCCTATGGTCAAAACACATTTCCTTTACTTCTCTGTATGGAAAACTCTTCTTTAGAAAGCTATCCCTGTTGTCCTTGTAATGCCAAATGAGCAAATCTTCAGGTGTTGCTCCTTAACTCTTCATAAACCCCACCTGTGTTCTATATCACATATTCCCAGTTAGCTTCCTGGGCATATTGTTGGGTTGTACTCTCTTATCCTTCAGAACTGGGTGTGGATATTTGACTTGCTTTGGCTAGTGAAATGTGAAAAGTGGAAGTTTAAAGAGCCAACACATGACTCATGCACTGTCTTTCCCTCGGGTAGTTGCTCTGTCTTTATTGTAGAATAAGTAAGATACAAACCAGGACACCCAGCAACACTTAATGGGTTTGTACCAATAATGAAAAATAAAATCTTTCTTGTTCAAGCTGCTGATATTTTGGGATTGCTTGTTGTTGAAGAGCCCGGCCTGTCCTGATATACTACTCTGCTTTGACATCTTCCATAACTTCCTAAACCACCATGTTTCTACCTTACCTGAGCTTGGGCAGCACATTTTCTCTGTACTCTTTTTCTGGTTCTAATGATGCACTGGTAATAACCAGTTCACTGATATGTCTTAGTCATCTCCACAACTATTTTGAGGCTTCCTAGGAGCAGGGATGGTGCTTGTACCATTCTTATATTGCACAAAGTATGGTTCATGGCTGAGGCAGTGCATTATAATGAATGCGGGAGTCAGACATTATTTGAACCCCTGTTCTGGTACTTATTGGATAATCTCTCTGAGCTTCAGTTTCCTCATCTTTCAAATGAGAGTAACACCATATACTCTACAGGGTTTTTCTTAAATTTCTGGGTACAGTTTATGTACGAATAATAGCATTCTATAATTATTATCGTTCTCTCTCTCTCTTTTTTTTTTTTTTGGTTTTTTGAGTCTCACTATGTAGTTCAGACTGCTCTGGAACTCACTGTGTAGCCCAGACTGGTCTCAAACTCACAGCGATTCCTCCTGCCTCAGCCTCCCAAGTGCTGGGATTACAGGCTTGCGCCACCACGCCCGCTTGTTCTCATTTATTTTCATTATCATTATTGATGGTATTCAATAAATGCTGTGGATGTCAGTCTTTCGTCAATTAAAGTATTGTGGTATGTGCATTGAGCTTGAAATCAGAAGTTCTGAATTAAAGGCTTCACTTTTGTCACCATCTTTGTGATCTTGGGAAAGTTAATTATCCTCCCTGCATGTGTCACATTCTTTATTTTAAAATACAGATGGGGATGATATATACCTCACAGAGATTTTATAAATTTTATCTTATTTTTTGCAAACCCAAGACCTCGCACATGGGAGGCAAGTGCTTTACCACTGATCCCTATTTTATTTCATATTTCATAAAATTTAAATGAGATAATATATGAGGAAATATTTTATGTTTAAGCATCACACATTCTAAAACCTGAATGACACAGATTAGATTGGCTGGTCCCTCATGTAAGGACAGTGTGAAGCACTCCAGTGTTCTCCAGTAACATTTAGCTGTTGATTTTATCTTTGTTTGCTTATGTTTTTGTCTTTCCAGGTAGGCTATGATGCTCAAGATAAAGAATTGCCTTAGACATTTTGGGACAAGAAAGGTGTTTATTTCTCTTTACATAAGAGTGATACATGCTCATTGTATAAAAAATAAAATTACACAAAGAAAACAAAAATTCCAGTAATTCTTGTCTCACCTTCAAATAATCTCTATCAGTCTTTAGAGGCAGTTCATTTATTTTACAGTTTTACTCTCATTATATATATTTACACACAAGCATTTTCCCATGTCATTAAATACTCATTCATATATTAATTTACATAAAAATCTTACACTTTTAACTATTTTCCTATTGTTGAAAATATAAGTTGATTATACTTCACTGTCTAAATAAAGCTATAAGAAAACACTTTAGTGCATAAATATTTCTCTTATTTTGTACTGTTGTAGGAAAAATTTTTAGAAGGAATAGTTTTGAGTCCAAGGATATGAATATTTTTAATGCCCTTGAGACTTTCAGAGTGATTTCAGGAAGTCAAACCAAGTTTCACTCCCACAAACAAGATGTGAGATTGTATATCTCACTGCATCGTCATCTGTAATGAGAGTTATTTAAAATCAAGTTAAAGCTTTTAAATATAATAATTATCTACATGTATTTCTTCTGTGAATTGTTTGTGCCTCTTGTCCATTTTTCTGTTAGGATATTAATTATTTTCTCACTAGTTTCTATGAGGTTTTAAAAATGACCTTGTTCTAGTCACAGGCACAGCACAAGACACACAGTGATGCTACTTATATATGTCTTGGATCATTAGTTAATTGTCTTGGGGACTTTTTAGGAACCAAAGCAGACTTTTCTGGAAGCTAACTTTTTTCTTTTCCCACCTAGGATACGGCTGGACAGGAGAGGTACAGGACGATCACCACAGCCTATTACCGGGGGGCCATGGGCTTCATTCTGATGTATGACATCACCAATGAGGAGTCCTTCAATGCTGTCCAGGACTGGTACAAGACTCATTCACTCATTAATTCATTCATCAAATTGTTCATGAAAACCACCTAACATGAACTAGGCCCTATCCTGTGTGTTAGGGAAACATGGCTCCTGCTCTCAAGGAGTTCTCAGGTGAGAGAAGAAGTCAGGTCAGTAAACAGGCAATGAAAATATCATGTGACAGGTACAGTGAGGAAGAGAGGAGTCAAGGCTGCAGGAACACAGGGAGGGCTCTCTGACCCAGCTTAGTGGCCAGGGAAGGTGTCTTGGAGTTGATGACACACCTGCCTTGTTTTGTAAGATGAACAGGAATTAGCTCAGAGGGTAAGAATTTCCAGAAAAAGAACACAAATATACAAAGACAAGAAAGTAGGTAAGAGGGTAAGAAGGGCACAGGTCATGACAGTTTTTGTGTTGGGGTAAGAAGCTTTGATTTTATCCTTTAGTGATGACATTGATATTAACAATCAACAATTTCAGATTTATATTTTAAGAAGATTACTCTGGCTACAGTGGAGAGAGAATCTACACAGCAGTTTTCTGTCCCTGGGCTCAGTGTGAGGCCCAAGAACAAATTAGTCTAAATTTGTAAAGGTTCAGTTAAAATTCCATGCCTACAGTTCTAGCTAGTTGGAAGGCTGAGGCAGGAAGATTGAAAGTTTGAAGTCAACCTGGACAGCTTAGTAAGACCTCATCTTAGAATTAAAAAAAAAAAATCAAAAGGGCTGCAGATGTAAATCAATGCTGCCTGGTCTCACTGTCCAGTGCAGGAAAGGAGAGAGAGAGAGAGAGAGAGAGAGAGAGAGAGAGAGAGAGAGAGATTGATTCAATTTGCAATAGAATCCGAGGCGTTGGTGGTATAGTGGTTAGCATAGCTGCCTTCCAATTTGCAATAGAAATCAGTACAGAACCCAGAGGTATAACCTCTGAACAACTTATACCTTCCTTCATGGAAAATTATTCACAGGGAGAAGGAGATGAGAGAAGAACAAGAGAGGGAAAGGCCAATACCAGTGCCCCCAACCAAAGGAAAATGGCAGAGCAGAAGGCCAGGCGTCTGAGACACTGCTGTTCTTCAGAGCCAAAAGAACCGAGTGCACCAGGGTCCTAGCAACAGTGCTGGATGGCACAAAGTCTATCTCCTGATCCATTTTGTCCCAACTACCCTTATTAGTCTGTTTCCTGTTACTATAGCAAAACATCTGAGGCTAAATACTTTATTTTAAAAAAAGAGATTTATTTAACTCAGTCTTAGAGCTGGAAGTCCAAACAGCACAGCAATGACTCTAGCAAAGACATTCCTGACCACAACACATCAAGGCAGATGGCATCAAAGAGGGAACATGTGCAAGAGGGGAAGGGCACACAGCCAGACAGGAAGCCAGAGGGAGATGGGGGAGGGACCAATATTGCTCTTTTATAGCAACCTTAAGTTACAAGAACTAACCAGGGTCCTTTGAGAACTACATTAATTCCTTACAGGTAACACACTGAATGGAATAATTATTTCCAATTAGGCCTCAGCTCTTAAAGGCACCACCAGTTCTTAACATCATCACACTGGGAACCAAGCTTCTAACACATGAGCCCTCTGAGGACAAACCACATCTAAATCCTAGCAACTACCCTTTGGGGACTCCCTCCTTCCAAGGAGCAGTTGCCATGGCTGTGGGAAGCATTGCTGGCCACTTGGACCCTTGAGCTAAGAGTGATCTTGCAGACTGCCTGCTGCACTTCTCTGTTCTGACCAACAGGCCGAGGGCCCATGCCATTCACAGAGCATATGCTCTCTTTTTCTGTCCTCTTCTTCCTGTTTTCTCCTTTCTTTTTAACAAATTCTTCACCTTACTGTCCTTTCTGTCCGTTTCTTGCTCCCCCTTTTCTTTTACTCTCTCTAGTCATGATTTTTCTCCCCTCCTCCCCTTGCTGCCACCCCCCACCCCTGACACACACACCATAGAGTGATAAGCTCTTCCTTTAAGTGTCTTCACACTGCTCATTCCCTGGTGGCCTTGACCCCTTTCCCTTTTTGATCAATCTCTATTTATTCTGCTTTGGAACACAGTGTCATTTACACCTGCTGACGGTTTCTCCCAGAACAACCTGAACTTGTTGCTAACCTGGGAGCTGAGAGAGAATGGAGTGAGAGGAGGGAGAAAGATGGAACGACACAGAGATTTGGCACCTGGTACCGGCCTTCAGTCTAATGACTGTCTGTTTCTCCTGAGTCCTGGCCTTTGGTTTTGCCTCTGAACAATGGTCTCAGCCTGGCCACCACCTTCCATTCAAACCCCAGGCCCATTGATGGTTGAGTTAATTTCTTCCTTTAAGGGAATGGCTTGTCACCATCGAGGGGAATGTCAATGATGGAATCAGTTTTAGGAGCAGGGTCAGTAATAGGTCCAGACTGTATAACCATAGTTAAGTTAGATTCTGAGTGCCAATGTCAAAGTAGGGTCAAATTCAAGATATACTTTAGGATTAACCATTCACTGGTCCACTCACTCACCAAACATTCACTAGCACCTTCTCTGCTCTGTGCTCTGGGCTGGGAGCAGGCATGGCCCTGCTCTCAGAGAGAGACAGATAGATTTTACCAAGTTTAAAGAGATGTAGGAGGTCAAAAGAGGGGACAGATTTAGGCCTATCCCCATAAAAATCTGTTTCTACAGTGTTAAGGTCCTACTTTATTCCCTCTGGTAAAATTTTGTTTCTAATTTCAGAAGTAATACCTGTTCATTTTCAAAAACTTGTAAGCAATAAACATTTGAAAAGTATTTTTTGAAAAGCTTTGAAATCAAACAAGTGTAGTGATGCATGCCTGAGGTAAGAAGATCATAAGATTGAGCCCAGCCTGGGCAATTTAGTGACTTAGCAAGTCCCTGTCTCAAAATAAAAAAGAGCTGGGGATGTAGCTCAGCACGAAGGCTGTGGGTGCAACCACCCCCCCAACACACAGTTCAAACATCTTATATGAAGGAAATCAATGAAGATATTTTGGTTTCTAAGGCCTCCATGAAAGCATATAAACTACAGAGGATGGGGTAGAGGCCAGCTGAGTGTAGGGAAGCTTGAGAAAACTCCTTGCAAGTCATTGTGGGTTCAACACTGAGCTTCGGAGGATGAGCTAGTTCTGAGGAAAGGATTCCCAGTATGGGCAAAAGACGCAGGCATGGAAGAACATTTAGAGAATGAGTGAGAAGGACTGTGAAATAGGATGAAGGTTAGTGAGGTTGGAGATACAGGATGTGAATGATCCTGAACTGAAGAGACTAGATTTGATCGCATAGCTAGTTGGGACCCAGAAAAAAATTTTTAAGAAAGGGCACAATGAAGTCAAATGCACATTTTAGAAAGAGCTGTCTATCCAGTGAGGATATTAGGGGACTGCAAAGAGAGGTGAGTTAGGTCCACAACAAAGAATTAGGTTTGGGCATCTGCGACAGCTGGCTGGTGCAGGTGTAGGTATGTATCCACTATTGAATTAACTGATGGTAACATGGGTGTTGCTAGCTAAGGAAAGGAAGCTTCTTCAACGCTTGAAGTTCTCTTTCTGACCTAGGAGGCTGTATATCTTAGTTTGGGCTGTTATAACAAGAATGCCATAGGTGGCTTAAATGACAAACTTATTTCTCACAGTTCTGGATGCTGAGAAGTCTGAGATCAAGGCACCAGTAGATCCACTGTCTGGGGACAGTCCCCTTATTGTATCATTAAATAAAGGGGAGAGAGCTTTAGTATCTTCCTCTTCTTTTTTTTTTTTTTGAGACAGGGTCTCACTATGTAGTTGAGACTGACCTGGAACTCACCACGTAGCCCAGGCTGGTCTCAAACTCACAGCGATCCTCCTGCCTCCGCCTCCGAATGCTAGGATTACAGGCATGTGCCACCACCCCTGCCTTTCTTCCTCTTCTTTTAAGGAGAACTTTTTTCTAGTTCCATTTACTGGGCTCTACTCTCGTGACATAATAATTTCCCGAAGGCTCCACCTTCAAATACCATCACACTGGGGTTTAGGGTTCAACATGTGAAGAAGGGGCAAAGACCTTCAGTTCATAGCAGTGTGATCAACACATTTCTCTCTGTTTCTTTTTAGGGCTACTCAGATCAAGACCTACTCCTGGGACAATGCACAGGTTATTCTGGTGGGAAACAAGTGTGACATGGAGGAAGAAAGGGTTGTTCCCACTGAGAAGGGCCAGCTCCTTGCAGAGCAGCTTGGTATGTGCGGGACTATGTGTGTGCATGTGTGCACAAGAAGTGGGACAGATAAAGGGGATAAGTGTGTGTTTGCATTCGTAACTTCAGAGTGCATTATGATTGTGAATTGTGTACCTGTGTGCTCTATATGTATTGTTTTGTATTTGTGTGATGTCCATATGGATTTATCCTTGGAATTTTAAGTAATTCATCATTTATGATATATACACACATATATATATTGATATATATATATATATTGAGAAACTATCAGAGAATATAACTTTAAACTCTCTATTCCTCAATAATTATGGTGTTACACACACTGAATACATAAGTTATATTGAATGTATAAGTAAACTTATAAACTTTTTAGTAGCTCCTTTCACAAAGGGTTTGAGACAATTTACTAAAAATGTCACTATAGTATATTGAGAGAGACGTGTGTGTATATAGGCAGGGGAGGGAGTTTTAGCAAGTTCAAGCAAAGGTGGAAGGAAAAGAAAAGAAAACAAGAATGAGCTAAGTATATATATATATCATAGGTTCTTGGGATCCTGCAAGAGTTGGGAGGAGGGCAAAATAATGCCTTTGAGCTGCCTAGCCACCATTTCAAAGAGGAAACAGTAATCCGTTACATGGTTCCTTGATGTAAAAAGAAACCTATGATTCTAGAGAAGCACCATTCTTCATTGGCAACTATGGAGTAGAATTCTGCACACTGAATGTGACCCTGTCTTTAATATCAAATATCCTTCTAACAACTAAAACAATGAACGTGATATAGGCTGTTTCTTAGCATTCTTAAGCCAAACTGATGGCTCTCACCAAAACACAGTTCATAACAAAAGTAAAATATAAAGGCACAAAACTATGTGGCCCAAGTGTTAGCTCAGTAGTGCTCTGGTTTGTCCAAGGTTGAAGTGTTTTGCTTCCTCGGCTCCATTGTGGCCCAGGTACCCAGATATGTCTCAGTGGCCCCATGGAAGAACCCATACTTAACTTTGCTTTGAAACAGTCTTTCTTTTATTATATACTGAGATTCAATGTAAGGTTGCCCTAAAGAAAGAATCCCATGCATATAGATCTTCCTCTAGAAAAATAGTGGGACTGCTTGCTTTCCCTATGTATAACACCATAAGTATTTTAAGTATTGAGGAATAGAGAGTTTCAAGTTATATTCTCTGATAGTTTCTCAAGTATCAGTGTTTGTACTTGAAGGTGGGGCAAATTCTATAATATACACATATGAATTATACTGTACATATTTATACTTGTATTATATGTATTATGTGTATGCGGTGTTTGTGTGTGTGGCCCCTGTACTTTTTTCTCCCCTCTCCTCTTCTCCAAGGTGGCCTGGATTAGAAATTATCAAATTGTAAGTGCTTAATAAATGGGAAGGTTGGTCATCTTGGGTCTTGCTGTTCCTACTCTATTTGCAGTTTCTCAGGGTCCAGAAGTTTGCCTCTCTTGATTTACAGATTTATAATCATGTGGTGAAGCCCATACTCAAATAACTTCAGTCTATCCTTTTACACTCTCAACTTTTATGCACTCACAGAACCCAGAGCCTCTCCCTGGACTATCTCCTAAGTGTTTGGAATGCTGTCTGCTACTCCTATCCCCTACCCTCACCTAGCTAATGAGCTCCACTTAGTTTTCAAACAGCACAAGTTTCACATATTCTGTGAAGCTTTTTCTGGTCCTGGCACTCCTTTTTGCCCGCACCTCATGTACCCTGTACATCCAATAGTCACTGTGTTCATTTACTAGTCTGTCTTCTCAAAGCTCTTTGAGGACAGGAAATGAATCTTATTTGTCTTTGTTCCACAGTGCCCAGAATGCAGCCTGGGGCTGAATAGATACTGCAAAATTATGTTTTGACTACATTTTATTCCATCAAGTATTCAACTATTTTGTTTTTTTGTTTTTGGTACCGGCGATCAAACTTAGGACCTTGCGCTTGCTTGCGAGGCAGGCGGCGGCACCATTGAGCTAAATCTCCAGCCCCTCAGCTACTTTGTTTTATTGTCCAGTGAAGATTTTCTGAGCACTTTCTCTATGCTGTGCTCTGATGTGCTCTGCTGCGCTCTGCTCTACTATGAAGTAGGACACATTTCCTGGTCTGAAGAAGCTTGGTCCAGGAGAGAGCTGACAAAAGCAGTGATAGCACAGGTGATCAGTGTGGTGACAGGGCATGAGCTGGTGGTTTGGGGAACACAGAGGAGGCACCTGATTAGGTTAGGGTCAAAGAACATGATGCCCAAGTAGCCTACTCAAGTGAGGGAAAAAGGCAAGCACATTCTACGAAGGGGACACAATGCCAGCAAAGGCAGGGAACAGGGCTGTGGTTCAGGGAATCATAAATCACTGGATGGTGTGAGCCTGGAGTAGTGTTGCCCAGACAGAAGCACTTGTGCCACTGGAGGTGTGCAAGACAATTTTATATATTTATTTTTCTATGTATTGGAAAAAATGTAACTAGCAAATGCCAAACTCTCATGACTAAGATTGGGGTGAGTTTGTTAAACATTTATAGGTGCTTACCATGTGCCAGGCACTATTTAAAATTTTTAAAGTATTATTCATTTAATCCCTTTTAAGTGTTCCAAGATATATACAGCACTTATCTCTACATTGTGTCTGTGTGTGTGTGTGTGTGTGTGTGTGTGTGTGTGTGTGTGTGTGTGTGTGTGTGTGTGTGTGTGTGTGTGTGTGTGTGTGTGTGTGTGTGTTTACTAGGTGAGAAAAGTGAGGCACAGAGAAGTTAAATAACTTTTTCCAGGTTATATAGTTAGTAAGAGGGTAGAGCTAGTATTTGAACCCCAGAAGTAGTCTGGACAGAGCCTAACTACTTAACTTTATATTGCAGCAAATGTGATAATAATTCTTGATGTATATTGAGCCAGGCATTATGAAATTTTTAGCATTCTCTCTCTCCCTCTCCTTCCCATTTCCCTCTCCTTCCTCCTGTCTCTTTCTGCCTCTCTTTTTAGGCAGGGTATCACTATGTAGTTCAGGCTTGTCTTGAACTCACTATGTAGCCCAGGCTGGCCTCAAACTTGCAGCAATCCTCTGCCTCAGCCTTCTGAGTGCTGGGATTACAGGTGTGCACCACCTGTAGCTAGCACTGTTTCTCTTAATTCTCATGATAACCCTTCAAGGTGGCTATTATAAGGTATGTTGTGTAGTTAGGAAGGTTATGTAGTTAGGAAGTGGTGGAGTAAGAAAAAATCTGTCAAATTCATATAGGAACACAAATAAAAATGAGATTGACTCTTAGTGCAGGGTTCAGAAATGGACTTGAAGAAGGCCTTAATAAAGAAGGCCAAATTTAGGTATGTAATGGAAACTCGTCTATGTCCTGCATAAGTTTCTGAACTTTCCTCTATTGTTTACCAGAACATACCTATTTATATGCTTAGATCTTTCTAACCCCTGAGAATAGGAATTACTTCTGATTCATTTCATTCTGTCAAGCATGCAGCACAGGGTAGATAGTTATTCATATATTTCCCCTGTTGGGCTGGGGATTTAGTTCAGTGGCACCCTGCCTGCCTTTCAAGCTCAGGGTCATGAGTTTGATCCCCAGTACCAAAAAATAAAAAATAAAAAATTATATATCCATATATTTCCCTATTCATTGAAAAATATTTGTTGAACATATACTCTGAGACAGCACTTAGGATATAAACCCAACTGAAATTCTTCCTATCACGGGGAAATAGACATTGAATAACTATATAAAGAACTGTATAAGTAAGAATTGTATACATGGGTGAATCATATGGTAGATGAATTGTCTCAATCAAGTGGTTAATTGTGATAAATTCTGTTTGAGTTAGGAGTCATATTTCATGTGATAAAATTCCAAGTCAAACTAGCTTTACAAAAAATAGAATTTATTAGCTCATGTAGCTGGAAGGACTACTGGACCTAGGACTCAATTGCAGTGTATATTTCTCAGCTTGATATACCCCCTCAGCCTCCTTCTATAGCCAGACTCTCTGCTTGCGGATGGATGATGGCTGCTCCAGGTTCATCTCTCACTAGCCTCTGCAAAAAGAGGACTCTCTGTTGGCCACTATATATCACTCTCAAGGAGGACTATGATTGGTCACCCATAAGTCACATGTTCATCCCTATGACTGGAGGAGGCAATTATTATAACATAGAGTTCCACCATGACTGCTTAAAGTGCTGGTTCCAAGAAGGAAGAAAATGTGGTCAGGTAAAAGTAACATTAAGTCCGAGCTGGGGATTTAGCTCAGTGGTTGGTGCCTGCCTCCCAAGCACAAAGGCCCAAGTTTGATCCCCGTTAGCTCCCCCACCCCAAAGTAACATAAGTCCACCGCGTGTACTGTGAACAAGGTGAAAAAGAAAAACCTAATTTTAGTCTGGAAATCCAACCTGTTATGAGAAAGTAACACTTAAACTGAGAACTAAGGATGAGAAAAGGTAGGCGAGGAGTAAGAGTGAGGGGAAAATGGCCTGAATAAATGTGGGTTAGAGCTTAAAACATTCATGAGATTAAAAGGCCATGTCACAGTGACTAAACAATCAAGGGGTCAGTAGGGCAAGGTAAAGGTAGAGAGGCAGGGTAGATGACTGTACCAGTCCTCAGCCTGTTTGTCATCATTCTTAATCCTTCTCTTGCTCTGTCAGCTTCCTGTAACTCCTTGCAGAGAGGTTGACCTTTGCAGGCGGGGTTTCCCAAGCCCCTGTGACTGTGGCTTCTGGTTGAGCTTACCTAAGGGGAAACAGAGGCAGGTGATTGGAGATGGAGAAGAGAGAAAAGCTTGGATATATCCCCCACCTTGGATGGCTCTTCTTCTGTGGGCCACCTACTCCTCTGTGATTCCTGTTCCTTTGGTTCCAGCTTCCTTTGCCTCTCGTAATAGTTTTTCTTTGTTTTGTTTTGTTTTTTTCTGTTGATGATCTCTGGGATTTCTCACTGTTCTGTTTGGCTTCTTGATTCCTCTCTTGCCTGCTTAACCAATTTCCTGTAGTTTAAATGCTAAGAAAAGTTCCCATTTTCTTGGTTGGAATCTGAATAAAGCAATTGTGTAAAGTACCATGGAAATACAGGATATGTTCTGAGTGGTGGATACGGGGTAGGGAAGAGAAAGAGAAAGCTCTCTGGGATCAGAAATTCACAGATGAGTAATTAAATTCATTAGGAGTGGGAGCTGAAGCATTGGTGGTGAATGTATGGCACATGTGTTATTTGTTTTTCTTTTAAGACAAAAGATGTTGATGTATGAGTTGCTTTTCTAAACTAAAACCTCAGTATTCAGGTCTAATTGAAGTAATGGCACTTTGTGACAAATAAGTGGGTTTTGGGTGGCACTTTGGGCACTTGTCTCTGAAAGATTCACCATCACTGAGCTAGAAAGTAATTGCATGAGCAAAGACAGAAAATGAGAAAGCCTTGATGTTTCTGCAGCATAGTATGAGCCAGGATGATAAAGCCAAGGCCAAGCCAGGCAGAATTGCTATGATGTGGAGGTAGTTGGAGTGTTCTGCAAGAGTGTATTATGATTGATGGCTTTGTCCCCAAGACAGCAGAACTGGGAGGTGGTGGAACCTTTGAGAGGTAAAGCTTTGTGAGAAGTCCTTAGGTCACTGGGGGTATGCTCTTAGAAGGCAGTTTATGGGACCCTTTCCCTTCTCTTGAAAGAGTTTTTATAAAAGTAGAAAATCTGGCTCCCCATTTCTCTGCTTTCTGTCTCAAGATATATAATCTTGCTGCCATGCACACTCCTGCTGTTGCTATTGGCCATGAGATGGTGCAGCTAAGGGGCAGCTGTCACCATACAGCCCCTATGTCCTTTGGACACTGAATCTTCTGAACTGTGAACCAAATAAACCTCTTTCTTCACCAGTACCCTAAGTCCAGTATTTTGCTATAGTAACAAAAATCTGACTGATTCAAGGGTCTTTGGTTTTAAGTTAATGAGACTGACTTGAAATTAATCAGATGTCATTCAGTTCTAGTGACACAAATCCAAGTCAAAACAGTTGAAGTGATAAGACAGGGGTATAGTTGAAGCAAAATGCAAGAGAAAGTCAGAAATTAATAGGCCAATGTGTTGGATGAATTGTTTACACTTGGACATGAATTATTTAGGTACTCAAAGTATCTGAGAATAAGAGTAAGTCTAGGGTGGAAAGAAAGACAGTGAGTCTCTTGCCAAAACTGTCGGTGACCAGAAGGGTGTAAGTTGAAGGTTGACAGATAACCGGGCATGAGGAGGTGTCACAGCAGAATGGGGATTTGAATATAATGGTAGTGGGGAAATGTTCTAGAATAGTGTTGGAACACGAAGGGGTGAGTTTAGTTGGTTTCAAGTTTCCAAATAGAACCTAAAGTCCAGCTCAGAGGCATATAGTATGGACATAGCCTGTGGATCTGTAATAGCTGCCTTTGGACAGGATAGGGAAACAGCATTTTGAGAGTGGTGGAGAATCTTGGGTTCAGTTAAATATTGGGCCCCATTAAAAACTGTAAAAATCTCATTGTTCTGAAGCCCATTAGAGGAAAGAAAGGTCTGGGTTAGGAGCGGCTATTCTGCTTAATTGGTTGTCATCTTCCTGTCTTACTGGCTTCTCTGCTCCTGAGAGTCTTTATTAATAAACCTGAGAAAAAGGTTACCGCCTGGGCCTACTAATAAAGGGCCTTCAGGAGTCTGACAGTAATTGGATGGGGGTGCTTTGGGGCTTGTTCTGCTAAGCAAAAGAGATTCTTGTGTTGACTAGATCTGTGAGCTGGTAACTTAAATCAAATTTCTCATGCTTTGGGTGCCTTTGAGAGGACAGTAAAGACACCTCTTTGGCACAACATATGAGCTCTTCATGATTAGTCTCTTATGGACTTATAGCTCACTGCTTTGGTTTTTCTGCTCTAATGATAACAAACTCCTATTGTCCTTCTGGCATATACCAAGGATTAGGTTTTGGGATTTTTTCCCCCTTTCTCTGTGCTCATACTGTTTCTCCTGCCCAGTGCACTACACATGCATGTGGACATGTGGACTCACAATCACATGTCTTTGTCCAGTTTAGGCACCAGCTTCTTGAAAAAAATCTTCTCTGGTGCCCAATCTTGGCTGTTCCTCCTCTCTGTCATGACAATCCCTTGACTCGTCACTGCTCTGGTACTTATCACTGTAATATGGTCCAGGTGTCACCCTGGAGTAGGAACTCCTCAAGGTAGAATCTACAGTAACGCCTCTGTTCATGAATGCTTCCATTTGCAAACAGTTTGGTTTGCAAACAAAAGCATTTGGCAAAACTTTGCTTCCACTCACAAACTCCACATTGGGTGACAAACACAACTATGACCATCTTCCTCACACAAACACAAAGGCACACAGCCATCTTCCTCCAAATCATAAAACAAATTAAATTAAGGCCAGGGACTGCCTCGAAAGCACAAGGTCCTATCCATTGCCGGTACTAGAAAAAAAATAATATAAGTTCAATAATAAAAGTTCATAAACTGAAGCACCACTGTATACCTGATTTACTTCAGTATCCCCAGGGTCTGGCACGGGGTCTTGCCATGCTTACAGACCTGGACCATAATGATCCCCAGTGTCTGCAGCCCCTCAGACACACCCTAAGTGCTCATCCCCACCTCCATCATTGAACCAGTACTCATGGAGCACCTATTCCTCCATTGGAGCTGGAGCTGTGATGAATGGCCTGGTCCCTGTCAAATGCACTTTACCTCATGGGGTAACAAGTGCTGTGGCAGAGGGAAGCACAGGGGAAAATGAAGAGCCACATCTCAGCTGAGACTTGAAGAATGAGTAAGACAAGTTAGGTGAAGAGTTTTTCTCAGTTCTGACAGTAAAGGCTCACATTTTGTATTAACTTCAGGAAGCTCCCTTCCCCTTTCCTCCCCTTCCATTTGCTCCTCCTGCATTCCCCGCATGGCTTCTGGTTCCTCTGCGTTAGAATGTTATAGCTTGTTCTGTCACTGTTCCAACAGAGAGCAAAACAAAGAGGTGTAAAGGATAAAGCCCTTATTATGGGCCATCTCTGAGCTTCAGTTTTCCATCTGAAATTACAAGGGATAAGCCCTCTCTTGCCCTACCCACATCCCAAGATTGTTTTAAAATTGTGTCTGTAAAGGACCCTGCAGAAGTGAGGAACTGAAACTCTTATTAGTGTGCCTTCTCCACAACTAGATGCAGTCTTCCACATCCCTGACACGCAACACAAGACCCTGTATAATGTCAGTGTTCAATAAAGACCTGGTTTATTCATTGACCCTGAATGAGGAAGAGCAAGAGGGCTTGCTCAAAGGTCTTGGGAAACAATGGAGGGTCAAAGAAGCCTAGAGTAAAGTGAGTGGGAGTCAAATGGGAAGGAGATTGGCCATTTATTCCACATGGCAGTCATTGCTCAGACTTTTGTGCATTTAGTTATTACCACCCATGAAGTAGGTAATAGCCACTCCATTCTACAGATGAGGAGGTGGACACCGAAAGCAGTTAGGCAACTTCCCCAATGCCACACAGCTACCCCCTTTTCCCTAAAAATAAGATCTAGCCAGAAAATAATCAGCCTTGATAACTAGGGATCAAAACTGCTAGCCCCAATCAGCCTATCCTTGCCTTACTTGTCAGAAGGTAGACACTGAGCAAGAGAATAGTTTAGGCAGGTAAGGCAAGCATAGGCTGATTGGGGTTGGCAGTTTTTATCCCTGTTATCAAGGCTCATTATTTTCTGGCTAGATCTTATTTTCAGAGAAACACAGTACTAGCTGACAGACTGAATTCAAATCCAGAAGACTCCTGCGCCTCTCCCCACTGCTCACCTATAAAATGGGGCATGTCCTCCCCTTAGTGCCAGTTCCTCAGAAAGGATTTGTACCCCTGGCCTTGACCTGTGTCCTCATCTTCAAGCTGACAGTGAAAGTTTATTTACTGCTTTTCCTTCTTGCCCTTTTCCCTTGGTAAGCAATACCCTCCCTTCCACCTCTCCAGACACTGCCACTTGCCATTAGCCAGTCAAAGAATTTTTGTGGTATTTATTAAGGAAAAGGAATAGGTTGAAGGGTCTTTGAAGCTGACTGGGTTTCTAGTTTCAGGATAATGAGCAGCTGCTTCCTTTACCGTCACATGCCCACAATTAGCAAGATTTTCTGCAGCTTGCTTTTCTCAGGTCAGGAAATGGGCCACAGAGATGCTGCCAGCAGGAGGTGGGCTGCCAGGAGCTGGAAACTAGGAGTCCCTTCAAGCTGGGAGGTCTGGGAGTCCTTTTGTACCTGGGGCTTCAGGCCATGCTGTGGCTGGTGGGATAATAAGAAGGAAAAGGAAGAGATCCTTCCTTTGCCAGAGAAATTGATACAAGAGGGGAAAGCGGGTAGAGGTGAGGGAAGCAAGAGGAAAGAAGAAGAGCAGAGAGAAACTGTCATTATAATAGGCAGCTTTTATACAGCAGTTTATCCATTGTCTCACTTAATCCTTTCAACTGCTTTCAGTTGGAAGACAGTTATTGTTCCTGCTTGACAGAGTTGGGAGTCTGAGTGTCAGAGAGGTTAAGTGATTCAGACAGGTGCAGCAACTTGCCCAGATTCAGACACTGTTGTAGTCAGATCAAAGCAAACAGACTTGCAAAGAAAAAGATAGGAAGAAGAGAGGAAAAATGCAAAGTGAAAGGGAAAAGAGGAAGAAAGGAGAAGAGGTAGGGCTGTATACAGACTTTGGAGCCAGCCAAATCTGTCTGAACCCATTTCCCACTGAGTTAGCCATCTGATCCTATGTGAGTTATGTAACCCATTGAAGCCTTTATTTTCACATTTATAAAAATTAGAAATAATGATATCTACCAACAAACTTGTGTGAGGATTAAATAAGGTGATATCTGTAAAGCTCCTAGCATAGTACCTGGCATTAGTAGGTGCTCATTAGATATAATGGGTTCCAAAGAGACAGGGCAAGTAACTTAAGGGAAAAAGAAACTAAACTTTAAAAAAGGGAGGAGGATTTTTGAGGAGAAATAAAGGCTTGGAAGGAAGGAAAGGAGAGAGTAGGCAGGGGCAGGAAAATGATGGAAAGGCAATTTATGCATCTAAATTCTGCCACCAGGCTGGTCAGGATTCCTACGAGGGAATCAGGAGGTATCATGGGACAATCAAGTTTTGTTCTATGTCACAAAGAATGTCATTAAGGATCTCAAGGTACAAAAAAAAAAAGTATGCAGGACATTTTAGGTACAGCTCTCCTTGGTCTTTTTGTTGTTTTTTCAGGGACAGGAAAGATCTATAGGATTATTCCAGTAGAATTTAGGGAGGAGGAACCCCATTGAGTGGAGATAAGCCAATATATCTGTAGTAGAAAGGGAAAATAAAGCTTGTCTTATTTATTGTGGCTCTTGAGGTGCCTCCAAGAGCTCACACTAGAGCTGGCAAGGGGCTGCATGAATGGGAAGCAGAGGAAAGAGGAAAATCCTGCTCATAAAGTCCAAAACCTGGGTTCTTGTAATGGTGCTTTTACTTTTGACCAGCTAGCTTACTTCCCTAAGTCACAGTATCTGTATTAGTGACATGGAGAGGGTATGACTGACACTCCTTCCCCCAGAACAACATGAAGAATGAATAAGATAATGGTTATGGTAAATGTTTTAGAAAGTAGAAATTGTCCTGCACATGTATTTATGTATTCATTCTTTCTGCAAACACCCAGTGATCCCTCTTCCATTCAGGAACAGGACCATATACTTCATATGTATTATTTTGTTTCATATTTGAAATAACACTACGAGGTAAGTAAAAGTATCTTATTTACAACCAGAGAATTGATTTGTAAAGAGATAAGTGATTTGCCAAGATCAAAACGATGGTCAATAGTAGAGTCCGGGTCTGTCAGACTCTAAAACCAGAGCAGGTAACCCCTGCCCTGAACTGTCTCTCTGAAGCAGAATCCTTTGCCCTTAGAGTTAGGCCTCTTTACTTCACTTCAAAGTACTGGCTGTATTGATCCACTCTGTTTGGCTGGAGGCACAAAAGGGTTCCTGCTGATGAGATGGGAAAAATACGTACCTGTATTTCTTCTCTCCCTAGGGTTTGACTTCTTTGAAGCCAGCGCCAAGGAGAACATCAGTGTGAGGCAGGCCTTCGAGCGCCTGGTGGATGCCATTTGCGATAAGATGTCTGATTCCCTGGACACAGATCCCTCCGTGCTGGGTACCTCCAAGAACACGCGTCTCTCAGATACCCCACCGCTGCTACAACAAAACTGCTCGTGCTAGACAAGGTCCCCACCCTTCCAACCTCCCTTCAGTGTAGCCCCACGCACACTTGCTTCTCTCTGATACACACTGTCCACTCCCTGAGCAAGCTGAGTTCCTGCTGTTCTTTGCCAGCCCCTGGGGTTCCCTGCAGATGGCCCCAATTACAGACAATCAGCACTAGACTAAGCACAGGACATAGCATGGGTGGAGAATTCCCTTTGCAAAAGACAACTGCGTTTTACGAATGACATTTGAGATGGAGACTTAGAAAGAGAGTCTCTTTTCCACTGGCAAAATGAAATTTCCTCCTTTACCAAAATTTGACACACCCACACTTTTCAGGAGCTGGCCAAAAGTGTAAGGTGAGGCCCACCTGCATTGCTAATCCTATTAAAGAAAGCTTTGCAAAATACAACCTTCTTGTTTCATGTCAGGCTCCCTGTGGGGCTTCCTCTCATTGCAAAGCCCTGTGCCTGTTACCACGGATGCCCACAGGGTCTGAGCAGTTGCTGTGGTGACAGGCCAGTGCTAATCTCCAGAGAGCTCAGACTCTAGTGATGCTAAAGGAACAAAGGCTGAGTCAGAAACACACTTAAAAGAAAAAGATTATCTCCTGAAAAATGTCAAAGGTTTCTGCTGTATGAAAGAGCAAGCAAATGAGTGTGAGAAAGACAAAGAAATATAAGAGACATAAAGAACTGGTCCTTAGTTTCTGATTTTGTTGCTTTTCAGCTAGTTCTTAACTATGAGAACTGCATGCAATTGGTCACTGGTTCTTAGACTCCAAAAATTTGAACATTTTAGAGTGAATGGGACCCTCCCCCAAAACTTACCTAGTCTGACTGGTCAGTTCCAGCCGTCTCATCTCTGACAAGTAGCTGTCAGGCTCATGTCCAAATCTCTTCTAAAGCACACACTCCAGGCAGGTACCATAGCTGACTGTCCACACTGTCTTTGTGCAAGTCTCATAGGAAATTTTCCGTTGTGTCATGTGGAAATCTTTCTTCTGGAACACCCCCCCGAACCCCACCCCAATGATTGATCTCTCTATCTCTGTTCCCTCTGCCTTTTAAATGATTTGCGAACAGGAATCATGGTCCCCAGGACCTCTTTTCTGGGTCAAATAATCCCCCTAGAATTCCACTTTCTGTTCTTCGAAAGATTCTTCCTATCCTTCCCTTTCCTCCAACCCACCTGTCAGTTATCCCTGATCAATCCAACTGGGAAATGTGATTTAAAGCAGAATCAATCTAAGGAAGAAATGAACTCAGAGGTCTCAATCCTAATTATGTTCTCCAGGACACAACACATTAGTATCTACTGAAGAGCCCCCCGTAACACCCGGAGGGAAAAAAATATATACTCTGAAGTCAAAATGGATTTGCTCATGATTATGACTTGCTGTGGGTATAGGAACTCAGTTAAGTTTTAGCTAAAATAATGATATGGAGCTGGCTCTGATTCCTGAGAAACATTTCTTTTCTGTCATGTCTTGAACCCTCAGCCTTCTATGCCCTGCACTGACATACCACCTCAAAAGTCTGTGTGTGTGTGTGTGTGTGTGTGTGTGTGTGTGTGTGTGTCTCTGTGTGTGGTTTTCTCTCCATTTCAAATGCAGCTCATCTAAGAAAAGTATATTCACTGGCAACAGGTCCATTGACCAACTGAAAGGATTATCCAGAGCCAGCTATATTCAGACGTTGCTTCCTTTGATTCAATGCAAAGAACAAAGTTCAGGAGACTTGGACTCTGTCATTTAATGAAATATGATTCTGGACCATTTACTCCCATCTCAGAGTCTTGATTTCCCAGTTTAAGATAAAAAGATTAATTTGGATGACCTTAGATCCCTTCATTCACTTAAAACTGATACTTTTCTTTCACCTTCACCATTTCAGTTGATCTGCAAAATGAACCTTATTTCAGAGATCAGAACTATTATCCCAGTGTTATTTACCATAACACATTATTCCAAGCACATTACATGTATTAACTTATCTTCCTGACATCTTTGTGAGGGAGATACTATAATCAACCTCATTTAAAGATGAAGAAACAGAGGCCCAGAGAAGCTCTTGTTTGCCTAAGGTCACAAAATGAGTAAATGGAAGAGCTGGGGTTCAAATGGAGCCAGTGAGTTCCAAGGTCTGTGCCCTTCAGCACATTTTATATTGCATCTCTTTTAGAGAAATGTGATCCAAATAAGTCAAGAGACTTGGCCAACATGACACATCTGGCAAGCATGTGAAAGCTACATTAGGGTTAAATCCCAGGGCCATCAGATTCTAAGCCTACTGGAGAAAAGACTTATATCTCTAATCTGAGGTGATAGATGTCTAATTCTTAAGTAGAGTTAGTCTCTGAAGTGACAGGATCCCATAACCCTTAGCACAAAATGCCCAGTGCTTTTGCAGGCCAGGTGCTGACTTTCCCTGTATCTGCCCCTATTGGGCAGTTTTTATCTGGTTCCCAAGTAGGGCTTTTCACAGCCTCTATGCTCCAGTGCTGGGACATTTTAGGGGAGTGATTTGATTAACTTCTCTGACCATGACAAAATACATTCCCTTCACAGGGCAGCAGTTATGAGTGTCCTTTCTACACTGTAAAGTTACACACAGTGTCATGGATGATTACTATTTTCTCTGGACAGTAACACCCATCTACCTTAGTATTAGTACTTCAGACCAACACCTTCATAACTTCTAGATGTTTTAGTACCTATAACCAATGATCTTTTCTCCTTGCAGCATGTCCAGGCAAAAGACTGAATTTTTTTACTTAAAAACTGTTAGTCATAGTGGCACATCCCCATAATCCTAACACTCCGGAGGCTGAATCAAGAGGAGCAACACTAGTTCGAGGCCAGACTGGGGCTACAAAGTGAGTTTAATAGCAAGATCCTGTCTCAAAAACAAACAACAAACAAAAAGCTGTTAGTCTTTAAAATTCAAGAGCCGGTTCAGGGAGCAAACAACTTCACAATAGATAGAATCAAGAGTAAAGTGTTATAAAGGCAAAATCTTTTACTGGGTATCAGACAAACAGACCTGCTTGTTAGATGGCAATTCCCCAGCCCTCCTCTGTGACCTCATTTCTGTCAAGTGGAAGGCAGCAGCTTCCAACTGATCGCAGTGCAATGTTCATCAATCAAGGTAATATTGCAATTAGCAACCAAGGTTTGAGCTGTGTGTGTTAGTGGCAACTTGTCCTGGATTTCATCTTCCTAAACAATCCAAATAAAGGATTAAAAAATAACTGATCTTTATAAAGAAAAAGTAGGGCACAAGTATAATGGTATTGTAGCTTTTTTATAGAATCTGTTTTAAATGCATCTGTATCTGTAAATACAAAATGATTCCTGACTTATTATTGTCTTCTTAGTAGCATTATAATTTCTAGGACCAGCAGTGTACTGAATGGGCACAGATCCATCAAATATTAGATTTGGAAAATAGCTTAGAGAAGATTTTATTCAGAGTTCTATTTTACAGAAGAGAAGGTTGAGGCCCAAGTAGAAGGAAAACTCCCTATCACCATAAGAGTATAGGAATAATGGAGCCAGGAGTTTATCTTGGGTCACCACTAAGAGGAAATTCACCTATCCTGGGTAACTACAGTACTATGGGCCCAGTCCCATTAAATATTGGATAGATAAAGATGAGAGGAAATGATCCCTGGCTGCAAGGTACCTGCGTTCTAATGAAAACACTTAGATGCAATATCTTATTTCTAAGATATTATCCAATTTGGTAGGCAAAGAAACACAGACCTGGAAAAGTTAACATGCCCAAAGGCCTGCTAATATTATTCGAACCCACCTGTGTCTGACTCATGCTCTTTCAATTTTCTTTACATCTCAGATGAAAAGTAGATAGGTGCTGGTAGTGACAGACTCCAGCAGATTTTTAGAGTTAATTAAATAACCTCAGTTGAGCCCTTGGTTTCCAGTTGCATTGTGACTACAGCCTTATAACCCAGAATGATATGAGCATCCTCCAGACCTGACTCTACTCATATCACCTGCTTCTGCCCCAAAGGTTCTTCCTTGGATATTGAGTTTCCTGGAGTGTCCGAGGAACATTTATTTGACTTTGTTTGCCAACAGTTTGAGGAAGAGAAATGGCTTACAGAAACCAGTGTCCTGAGATCTCATCAATTTCTGATACCCCATCTGAAGCCTATGCCAGGCCACCTACCATAGTTGAAGAATCAAGTAACAGTCTGTGGCTGGAAGTGCATACAAAAGCTGGTCCATGAGATACAAATACTGTGAAGTGATGTTTTTTAAGGGCATGGGTTCCTTATGTGAAATAGGCAAAACTTAAATGTATTCATTCAACAAAAAAGTATCTTCTATGTTCCAGGGTAGAATCAGTGGCAAAGTAGATCCTGTCTTTGCCTACATAAAACATAGAGCTTCATAGTTTAGTCAAGACAATGTGACTTCATCACTCAAATATAACTGCAAAGTACTCTGAAGGAAAGGTAAGTGGTTCTAAGAGAATATATAATTGGAAAACCTGACTCACCTTTGTGGATCTGTTTCAGAAGCCCTGGGAAGATCCCATGTCCTCCACAAATACCTCCACTATTCACTGGCATTGGTTTACGTTCCTCAACTAAATTTTCACCTTTTAGTTCCAACCTTTTGTTGGAAATACAAATACAAATTTCCCAAGCAGAATAAGGATAAGAAAGAATACCTGTACCTGTAAACTACCTTTAGATTTCTGGTTAAGAGTTAATTGTTGTCTTCTGAAGGAAATAACCAATCACTTCAAAATTTAGTGGCTTAAAACAACAATATTTATTACTTCTCTTGACTCTGCTTCTTCTGGCCAAGGTTGGATGGTCTGTGATGGCTTATTTCACATGTCTGGGGTCCCAGCATAGGTGATTGCAGCCTCTGTTCTGTGGTCTCATCCTCCAGAACCCTACCCAGACTTGTTTATCTGGCAGCAGAAGTTGCCCCAGCAACCAAAGAAGTCATGCTTTAAGGCAGAAGCACTTTCCAAGCCTCTGTTAGAATCACATTTGGTAATCTCCCATAGACTAATGCAAGTCACATGGCCAATTTTAAGGTAAGGGGTGGGGAGATAGATGCCATCTCCTTATGACAACAGCTAAAATATTGTGGCCAACTTTTCAGTCTGCCACATGAAACACTCCTACGTCGTCTGAAAGTTAGGTAAGTTTCCCCAGGTGTAAAACCCATTAAGAGAAGTATCAAAGTGGTTTAGTACAGGATGGTCTCATCATTTGTTTAATTACCCAAAGGATCTCTCTACTTTGGAGGAATCAAGATACATTAAAATGGAGATGTTTGGGGTCAGGGATTTGGCTCAGTGGTTCTGCCACCTACCATGCAAGCGCAAGGACCCAAGTTTGATCCCTGGTACAAAAAAAAAAAAAAAAAAAAAAAAAAAAGGAGATGTTTTGATACTTGTTAAACAGTATCTTTGGTTACTTCTTAGATATCCCTGAAGGATGAATATGGCTTGACACTCCAAGGGGTTCACCCTAGGTTATAGTTGTGATTTCTGCCTGAAGTGCCTAGCCAGAAGGCTAGCTGAAGGATGTGCAAAAAAGATGGACTCAAAGGACTCCCTGCTCTAGCTACATTCTCTTTTTTGGAGTACTCATCTAGTTTTGAGGCTTTGGATGACAAGAGTTTGATAATGATGGATACCCAAATGCCTTCTAGAATTTCTATCTCTCAAACTGAACATGTCCAGGTTAGAACTCAATTCTGCCCCAAATAGGATTGGATTCCAATCTTCACAGAAATTTAGCTATCATCCTTAATTCCTTGGTTTTTCTTTTTTTAGTCACCACATTGAATAGAACAGCAAGTCCTAAGGCTCTACCTCTAAGAATGCTTCAAATCTGTCCACTTTTCTCCATTTCCTTTGCCATAACTTTAGTACAAGCCACCATTGTTTAACCCCTAGAGAGCTAACCAGTTTTCCTATGTACACACTTACTTGCCTACAATCTGTCCTCTATCAACAGCAATATTTTAAAAATATAAACGAATAGCTCAGTAGCTAGTATGAAGTCTAGAATGAAGTTTACGTCCATACTGCACATGAAAATAATCCAGATGCTTCCATTTTTATTAATAACAACTTTTAATTATTCTATTTCTAGCCCTGAATCTGTTCCTAAGTTGTTAAAAGACCTCTGAAAAGTCATTCCCCTATAATAGCCAGCTATCACTTCTCCCAATTCTTCTGGAAATAACACTCCTTTTGAGGTGTTACCACTGCCTCACCTAAACCAGGTGATTCTAGTGAAGAGGACCATGTGATCAAGAAGAACCAATCAGAATCCTTCCCTGAGATTTTTATATTACAAATTGAGCTATTCTTTTTCCTTTTGAGTGGTAAATATATGAGGTTATGTGGCCTATAACTGTGATGGCCTACCATCCACCCATGTGTAAATGCTGATCTAATAGTAAGAGAAAACAAAGCTATTATGTGGAAAGAAGCATAAATATAAGGTGAGAAAGAGTGTGACCTCTGAGCTCCCCACCTGGGATCCTAGCTTCTTGAAGCTTGGTCACTCACCTCTTTTGATTCTGCTACCATAGCTAGCTCAGTGTATCTTTTTTTTTTCTTCTTTTTCTTTGGTACTGGGGATTGAACTCAGGACCTTGTTTTTGTGAGGCAGGTGGCAGAACCCCTGAGCTAAGTCCCCAGCCTAGTGTATCTTTCTAACACAGTCCCATTAGGTTCTTAACACTTGGAACCCAAAATCTATTGTCTCTTCTTTAATCTGCACTCTTGTACAAGTCTTTCCAGCTTCAAAGTGCAGAAATTCTAACTTTTAAAAACCAGGTCTTTCAGAAAGTCCCACTGACATTGACCTTATGATCAAAACTATAATCTGAGAAAAAGAGTCTATGGACTCTACCACTCTTTTCCTGTATCTGAAGGCACATGGAAGAGGGATTTCTCAAGATGAGAAGCAATTCTCCACGGACACTGATGATACTATAAGCAAAGGTTCCTATGACCATTTATGTGTATGCACACACACACACATGTACTCATGCAAGCATGTGCGACTGGTAGAGTCTGGTTTCCAGACCCTAATCAGCTAGATAAAACTGCTAACACATTGCCACTTCTTTCTCTACATCTGTTCCTATTTCTCAGCTATCTCAGTGATACCCACCATCCTGAGAGTCCACTACTGACCAGCCTAGGTTGTGTGTGGTTGTATACTTTTGCCTACTTTCTCTCTCTCTCTCTCTCTCTCTCTCTCTCTCTCTCTCTCTCTCTCTCTCTCTCTTCTCTCTCTCTCTCTCTCTCTCTCTTTCTCTCTCTCTCTCCCCCTCTCCCTCTCTCTCCTCTGTCTCTCATGCTAGGGATTGAACCCAGGGTCTTCACCCATGCTAGACAAGTGCTCTACCACTAAGCTATATTCCCAGACCTTTTCTATCATTTTGAAGTGGCCAAGTAGCAAATATCCAAATAGGAAATCTCTAGGAGGCTTGAATGAAAGACTTCCCTATGCTTGGTTCAAAATCATGTCATAGAAATGCTAATGGAGAACAAAGTAAACCATCAAGATCCTTAAGAGTATTATTAGAATTCTTGGCTTCCTTTAGATTCTAACGCATCTCTTCCATTTTTTAACAATGGGCTAGGATAAAGCTAATAGCCTAGGTAAACTTGGTTAAATCATTTCCTATCTCTGGGCTTCAGCAGCTGGTTTTTGCAAGCCTTTTTAGCACTAATGCTTTTTTATTCTATGTCGCTTTTCTGTAAGAGCTACGAGTGGAAAACAGGATTTTGGCAAGAATCCTTTCATTATGAAGCCTTCTTTCTTCTCAGATAAAATGAAAACAGCTGAGGTTGTGTGACTCCTCATCATTGAGCCAGGCTTTTGGCCCTGGTTTCTGAGTCTGCCAGAAAGGATTTTAGCAATTAAGTGTATCTAAATCATCTATGTCTGACAGTTCTAAGCTGGAGTCTCCTAAAGGGTAATGAGAGGAAGAGGAGAAAGAGGAATTTCTGAGGAGACCTGTTGAGAATGGAGCACAGACTTGTGTGTTTGAGAAGAGACAATAGGCAGCTGTGTCTGAGTGAAAAATGCATTCAAATTCAAGGAGGGCTTAATAATTTATTAAGCACAACTGTGTGCCAGGTTGAGAGGGCAAGATCTTTCTGAAGACAAACTCTGTTGTGTAGCCAGGAAGCCTGGACCTATTTGTAAGTGTAATTTTGAATCCCTCTAAACATCAGGCCACAGGTTGGAGTCTCTTAGGTTGTACAGCAGAGCAGTTAAGCACATAGGGATTATAATATGGCAGATCCGGGGTCAGTTCTTGGGTCATTAGCATTAGTTTTGTGACTTTGAGCAGATTAATGTTGGAGTCTCAGTTACTGTGTATTTAAGTGGAAAAATAATATCTACTTCACACGGCTGCTGATTAAATGAGAGAGTGGTGTAAAGCAGTAATCAAGTATCTGGTCCACAGAGCAGGTGCTGAATGTGTGGCACTGACTATGGTACTACATACAGTCGTCCTGATCAGGCAGTGATGGAGAGGCAAATCTAAATCTTTGTAAGGGCACTGAAAACCAGAAATTGGAGCAAGCCAGTGTAAACACCATGAGCAAAAGAGGAATAGAAAGGGATGATAAGTAGGAGATAGAGCCCGGACTTAGAAATTGATCAGGGTAAAAGAATCTAGTTAGGAACAAGGAAGAGAGCCTTGGAAATGGCCTTAAACAGTTCTTCTGCAAGATCTTGTTGGTTACTTAAAGTAGGGGATGCCATCTGATAGAATGGTACTTATTTCTCCTTCATTTGTACTTCCCCCAGAAATTAGCCCAGAGGAGTGAGAAATGAGCCTAAAATCAGGGTTTAGAGTGCTTTAGAGCCTTCAAGAGAGGGCCCTTCAACACTCAGAACACCAGGCTTCCGGAGAGCTGGGCCTGTGTCCTGACTACAGCATATTAACTGTGTTGTCTTGGCTAAACATTCTTTCATCTATAAAATGAGAGAAATATTCTTGACTCATGATATTTTTGTGAGTCAAAGAAAGATGCACATTAGAAACTGAAATGTTGTGGATGTAAGTGAGTAGTTAGCTATTGGGAGGGGCTAGGTGTAGGCCACATTCGTCCCAGAATGAAACTGAGCATACTTCTCCTGGAACCATTTCTAAGGAATCTCTCCTACTTCCTCTTTCCCCCAATCCCCAGTATACATTTAGGTCTCAGAAACTGAATCACACCAAAACTATCAGGGTCAACATGCCTTGATATGGATGGGTTTCAGGGAAATTTCCAGAAGCTAAACCAACGCAGGCAAGAGAAATCAGCCAGTGCATGCTGGGGATCAGAAAAAAAGATCAGTGAGCTCTGATGGAAGCCCAAGAGGAAGCAGCAGATAGGAGAGTCCATATGTACTATGATTAGAATTTAATAACAAAAATAACAAATAATATGTTCAGCACTTTACAGTTTCCAAAGCCCCTTTTCATCCAAACCCTGACGAACTTTGACACAACCTTCTTATTCTCAGTACTTAGATGAAGAAAACTAAGGCCAATGTCAGTGAATCAACATGTCCAAGACTTCATAGAGAAGGCAGCAGATGGCTTGGTTGGTATCAGAGTCTGTCCCTACGAGTTGTTAGTCCTAACCCTGAACCTTACTTATGGTGGAGGGAGTGTTGGGGGTGTGGAGTTGGAAAACAAAAACAAAAACAAAAAAACTAAGCATCATTTGTTTCTACACCTGGCCCTCCTGTATGCATGTGGGAGAGAAAGAAGGAGAACACATTCCTCTTGCCACCCCCATACTTGCAACAAAATTAAACTGTAGAGCAGAGGTGAGCAATAGAGGTTTTCCTCACAACACTGAGCCGGGTTCAGATGGTCTAGTCACACTGAGATGTCACCCTACCCAGTTTGTGCACCATCTTTAATTCCCCTAATTGCTCATTCTAATTTATTCAACCAGGGACCAGGCTTGTCTCATGTCTTCCTAGGAGATGTACCATAACAGGCTGAGCAGAATTCCTCAGGAGGAGCAATTAGCAAAATCAAGTCATCCCTCTACAGGACTGAGCGAAGAGAGGAATAATAACTCTCATGTCTTTTCCCCATCAGATTCTAGCTAAGCAGATGTTTTCATGCTCCTTTATTTTTCCTGTGTTCTATACATCAGCACTTTTCAGTGGCATATAAAATATCAGGTGGTATTGTGAGTTTGTACAAATAGAAAGAGATGATGGATACATAGTGGAATAAACAGTAGCAAATGGGAGAATTCCACTTGTGAATATCTGTGGATGGTATTTTCTTGTTCTCTGTTGATGTGTTCTATTGATACGAACTAGGTTTTCTTAATGTATCTCCCATCCTTGCAATAGTGGTAATGATGATATTTGCATTAAAGTTCATCTAAACTATGTACCATTTATAGATTAAAAATATGGTAAATGTTTTTTTTAAATCATTACAGTTAAAGGCAAATTACCATTAACCCCCCTGAGAATACTTCCTCTCATTTTGAACACACTTGGTCCATCATTCCTTCCACTTTCTGAAGCAATTCTGGAAATCCTCTTTTTTGAGTGTCTTGGGTTGCAATGCCACGACTGCCTTAATGTCCTGAATTGATTTAAAATGTTTACCTTTTATGGTCATTTTGACTTTGGAGAAGAATCCAGTGATCCAGTGCCAGATCTAGTGAATAAGGGACGAGGACAGGTCGTAATGTTTTTATAATCCTGCCTTCCCACTGAAAGGCACTTGGCAGCCGCGCTTACTGTAGTTTTTATCACACCTTATGAAGAGAACTCACAAAAGAGAACTTCCAGCACCACTTCAGAAAATGGCACCAATGATGGAATAAGTGCGTTTGAAGTGAGGGGAGAATGTTTTGAGCGGGATTAATGGCAATGTTTCTTCTACTGTAACAAATTTTAAACGTTCACTGCATTTACCAATTGCACCACACTTAACAGTGCATAGAGTGAGGGCTGCTGATAAAGCGAGGGACAACTTCTTGTTGATTTGAGAAAGAAATGGGGCAGATCTCAGGTTGCAGTCCCTGCACGTGCTGTCCTTTGTCGTCCTCTGTCCCCGACACTTGTCTATAGCCCCTTGTGATTTCCTCTGCCACAGGACTTACTATATCAGAATTTTTTTTTTCCCGATTACTGTGGAGTAGATTGTCCAACGGTAGAATGCACTTTTATGTGAAGTCAGTGTATTTTGTTTGTTTGTTTGTTTGTTTTGGTGTGAAATGAATCAAGCAAGCAATAGGCACATGTGCCTAAGGGTTCTGGGAACCTATACAAACAAAGGAAATGAGACTTCAGTAGTTCCACAAGAAATATTCAGTTATTGAAGTATGGTGAGGCCAGGAGCAGGGAAGGGCAAGTCCCTGAAATGTTGCTTCCCCACAGAAGTATACGTTGGCTCTATTATATCCCCTCAACTCATTTTATTTTCTCTATTGCATTCATTCAGCATCATGAAATTTTTATTGTTTAATGAAAGTTTCATGATATCTGAGACCTTGCCTGTCTTGTTCATGCTGTACCCTGGAGCCTTGGCCAAGTTACTTAAACTGTTTTATTTAAAACCTGCATTACACACCTCTCACTGTAAAATGTACCAACCCATAGGGTGATTGTGAGGATTAAATGCACTAATATTAGAGCTTAGGTTAGTGATTGGCATATAACTGACAGTCACCTCTACTTAACACTTTCATTTTGGTTACTAGGTTTCAGGCACTATTCTAAGCTTTTCACAGATATATCACTTTAATCCTTATACCAACCTTATGAGATAGGTACTATTGTTATCCACATTTATGGTGAGGAAACAGAATATTTACCTTGCCTAAGTTCATAGTTAGTAAACACAGATGTTGAACCGAAATTCCAGAGTTCTGTCCCTTAACCAGAACTGTGTAGTGTAATGGTTAACAAAAATTTTTGAGTGAATAAAATAGTCACACACCCCCACCCCAAAAAAGGGAAGAGATGGACCAAGGGACAGGTTCAAGAATCAACATAGGTATACAAGAGGAATCATGGTTTTGGGTCCATGAGGCAATGATAGCGAAATTTACATATATTCTTTTCTCCTGTGGCAGGCTGTGTCCAGGGAAATGTTCAAGAGGGCCAATTTATAAAGCAGTAAGAAGCAAGGGAATTCTTGACTTAGTGTAGCACTAGAATAGGGTATTGTTTTCCTTTGCATCCCGAAGAACCCTTGAAGCCTCAGCTGGGATTTACACTAAAAACAAGAGCACAGGCCAGTGCTGGAGACCCAGCCCTCCCCACAGCACCCAGGACACACATAGGGCAATCTACCTAGCGCTGTCAGTAAGGAAAACAGGGCAGAGACTCTCTCGGTTGTCTATATGTCAGTCCCCTTGGCTTTGGCAGTTGCACTGAATGTTTTATGTGTCTCTACAGGGACATTATTTTAAAAACAAAGTGTTACTTGGCCCAGTTATATTTGGCTTTGCCACCACTGGCTGTGAGCTCCTGGGGTCAGGGAAGGATGTATTATTTCTCTGTCAATCCCTAGATTCTGCAGTTTCTAGCACACTGAAGGTGTCCAATGGCTGTTGAAAGAATTGAACCCTCATTCTGAACAAATGGAACAATACCTGGATGAGGCAGTTGTCAACAGCTTAGACTTTTGGAGCTGAAGGGTGGTGAGCGTGATGGTATTTTGGAATGTTGTGGTGTGAGAAGATCCCAGTCAAGCTTGATGTGGAGGAGAAATTGAAAGAAAAAAAAAAGTTTGTCCAAGTGGTCACATGTCTAAAGTCCTTCACAGCCGCAGGTCATACTTAAAACCTTTCCCGAAACTTCAGCAGTCTGTTTAAATTCGAGAATGATTTCCCCTGTTTTTCTTTAAGCAAAAGTTAGCGGTATTACCTAGTGTCCACTATGGGGCACATATGGAGAGCTATTATTCCAAGCTCCCAGCTTTTGCAAGAGCTGCCTGAAATATGACTGCATTCATAGAAAAGGCAGATTTTATCCCTCCTTAATGTGTGCCTCTGTTTTCCATGGCAGATATGCAGGATGCCTATGAATGTGCTATTGTCTAAATTAAGTATTTTTTGGAGGTCTCTGCATGATTCAATAAACTGACTCTAAAAAGAACAGATGCTAAAAAAGAGTAGCTACTTTTATACATACCTGTATGTGTATACTATATATGTGTATATATTTTAATCATCACATAAGCATATTTCTTTACATTGTCTTGAAAATACAACTCTAGAAACACTTCTGTTCCACAAACCTTCTCAAAAGATTAGATCTGCATAAAATTCCATTGGCTACTAGGATCAGGGTCACTCCATTTTACCCTTCTTCATCAACTCCCAATGGCATAGGATATGACCTGTTTTAGTCCCTTTGTGTTGCTATAACAAAATACCTGGGACTAGATAATTTCTTTCTCATACTTCTGAGGCTGGGAAATTCAAGATAAAAGACCTGGCAGGACAGCTGTCTCGTGAGGGCTGCCCTTTGCTTCTAAGATGGAACTTTTTTATCACATCCTCTGGATGAAGGGAGTTATTTACTCATGTGACAAAAGAGTCAGGGCCAAAATAGCAGACTCTCTCCATCAATCCCTTTTATATGGGCACCTAATCCCATTCATGAGTGTGAAGTCCTCCTGACTCAATCACCAACAGGTAACTTAGAGCACTTTCTTCATTTCCTAACATTAAAATCACCATACTCTCAGATCCTGTAACATGGGAGGTGCCAACACACTATTCCCCTATTGGGTTCATCTAAAAGATGCCTGCTCACTGCCTGCCTTGCAAGCACAAGGTCCTGAGTTTGATCCCTGGTACCAAAAAAAAAAAAAGAAAAAAAAAAAAGAATTAAAAGATAATAGCTTAATATATAATTCTTCTGGGGGAACTGTTATTAGACAGTAGTCTTCAGGAGCTGAAGTCCTTCATGGAAGATTATCAGAACTATGGTAGGATAGCAGAAAATAACAAGAAAGTCCCCTATCCATATTTCATTAACTCATTCAACAGCCTACTAGAAGTTTTAGTCATTAATTTAATACATATTTCTTGAGCATATAATACATTTTAGGCAGTGGGCTAGATACTGGGGATATAGTGGCAAACCAAACTGAGTCCTCCTTAACTGATCAAAATAGCACGTACCTGTAATCCCAGCTACTCAGGAGGCTGAGGTAGAAGGACTGTAAGCCCAAAACCAGCAGGGCAATGTAGCAACTTTGTCCCAAGATAAAATTGTAAAAGAAAAAAAAAAAGTCAAGCATGGTGGCACATACCTATAATTCCAGTATTTGGGAGGCAAAGGTAAGAGGATCACAAGTTTGATGAAAACCTAAGATACATAGCAAGATCCTATTTTAGCAAAGGAAGTGGGGTGGGTCTGAGGATTTAGTTCAGTATTCCTTGGGTTCAATCCCTGGTACTACAACAACAGCAACAAAAAACCAGAATTCTTTATTCTTTTATCTTGTTTTATATTTTATTCTCATGGTGCTGGACATAGAATCCAGGGCCTCATGTTTACTAGGCAATTGCTCTACCATTAAGTTACATCCCCAGCCCAGGATCAATTCTATCAAGAATACAATTTTAAGGGCTGGGGATTTAGCTTAGTGGTACCATGCGTGCCTTATAAGTGCAAGGTCCTGAGCTCAATCCCCTGTACCAAAAACAAAAAAAACAAAAAAACAAAAAAAAAACAACCCCCAAAAAACAAAGAATACAATTTAAAGTAGCAAAAATAAATACTTTAAAAGCCCTTTGAAATAAATCTAAAAAGTTCTATGTTTCCTTTAGAGATAATATTACACAACCATATTGAAAGATATCAAAGACCTAAATAAATGGAGAGATTCATTACGTCCCCAAATACAGACTCAATGTTATAAATTGTCAGTGAATATAATGTTCTAGGGGGTGGGACTATAGGTCAAATATAGTGTGTGTTTAGCATGAACAAGGCCCTGGGCTCAACCCCCAGCATTACAAAAGGAAGCAAGGCAGGCAGGCAGGAAGACCCCTAGAATGATATGTTATGCTAAAGTATTACTAGTGGTTATCTCTTGGTTGTAGGGATATTTTTATACATTTTTATTTTCACTTGTCTACATTTTCTTACTTTTAAAAACACACATTTACAGTTTTATAAATAAAATAATTTATAAATAAATTACCCTAAAACTTAGGCATGCTAACACTACTACTGATATTCTTTTCCTTAAATGGGGTTGTTTGTAGTTGTGTATTTGCTTTTATTTTTATGGTTATTTTTAATATGGCCCCAAATCTTATAGATACTCTTGTGTATCTATATGATGTAGTTTATAATACAAAGTAAAATAAAACATTGTAAACACTCATGAGAGAGCTGGGAGTGTAGCTCAGTGCTGTAGCACTCACTTAACATGCGCCAGGTCCTGGGTTCAATTCCTAGCACTGCTTCTACCACTGCCATTAGCAACAGCAAATACTCAATGCAATGCAAAATCATGAGGACAGGGGTTTTTGTCTTGCTTCTTTGTTAGGACAGTGCTGGCTCATAATAAGTGCTCAACAAGTATGTGTTGAATATTGACCAAAAGATATCTAACTTTGACTCATGACCTCCTAATTTGTATACGGTTAAGGAGTTGTCACCTAGCCTTTTTTTTTAAAGCACTAAACCCCACTGCACAAGCCAGAAAGTTTTCTTTATTCTTTCTTCCTTGTTAGAAGTTCTGCAGGCTACCTGTTTTGATCTCTTCTTGAGACATTCTGTCACCCCCCCGCACCCTATTCCTCTCACAGTCTGGCTGCAGAATTGGATATACTCTCTCTACATCTTTTTTCTTCCTTAGACCACAACTTAGAATCTTTCTGCTTAAAGGATTTTATTACCAACAATGTGGGAAAATGGAAAAGTAATAAAAAATTTGAAGTATTTACAGATGCCTTGTTTCCCAGGCTTTAGTTTGATTTCATTGTAGGTATTTCGGTTTGGTTTTAGGTCTTTCCTTTCAACTATTCTGTCTTTTGGTTTTGTCCTTACAACTTCTTGCCCTAAGTTGGTCCTTGAAGGAACAGGTTGGTGGAATGACAATAAATAGTTTATTTGTAAGAGGACCTCCAGGGAGAGTCATTACATGCCTCAGACTCCATTGAACAAGGTTCCTCAATATCTAAGAGTTTAGAAATCAGATCAGCCTAAGAAAAATAAAGCCATAAATCAGCATTTTCCAAATTGTTTCCCACAGAATACTCTACAGTAAGAATATGCACTTTTCCCAAAAGGCAGGTGGTCTTATTGTTAAGCTACCTTGAGAAACACTACACATTACACTGTCCTCCTAGAGAATCAGAGTATGTCAGCAAATGAAAGACCCTGATAGTCTTACTTTGTTTTCACCTTCTATTTCTCAAGTTTATTTGAGCATTGAACCTCTTTTCTGGACACCTTTAAAATACCGCTGAAGTTGCACTGAACACACTTTCAGAAAGTTCTACTCTTCCTAGAAAGTACAATGGATGGCTGGTGAGAGATTTCAGTGGTAAAGCTTAGCATCTGTGAGGCCCTGGGTTCACTGCCCAGCACCAAAAATAAAAAAGAAAGTAGAACAGGGACTGTGTTAGTTTGTTAGTTCTGCCACTACAAAAGGCCAGATTCAGTTTGGTAAACAACAGAAATTTATTTTCACACAATTCTGGAAGCTGGAAGTGAAAAATGAAGGTGTCCCAGGTTTGGTTTTCCCTGAGGCCTTTTTCCTTCACTGCACATGGTCTTTTCTCTCATCCTTGGTGTCTTCTAATAAGGGTACTAGTCATATTGGACTACAGCCTCACTTTCATGAACCTATTTACCTTAGCTGTTTCTTAAAGGCCCTATCTCCAGAAGTGTTACCTTAGGTGTTAGGATATTTGCATTTGAATTTTACAAGAACGCAAATTCCAACCATAATAAGGCCACACACACTGTTATTCTTTCCTGTTTGCCTCATACTTAAATAATTTAACACCTAAGATAGGCAAATAATATCATTCCCCCTCCACCCTGGGCTTATTGTTTATTCAGTGGGGCAAGAAAATCAAGGATATGGATCAGCTGACCTGATTCACTTATATATGAATTAAGTACCTACTTAGTGAAAAGTTTTTGTTAGGTATTTCAGAGGATACAAAAATGTGGAGATCCAGCTTTTAGGAACCAGGGCCTTAACCAAGACAACCCATAGAAAATTATTTTGTCTACCTCCATACTTTTACTCTTCTTTAACAGAGCTCAGGGTCAAAACCTTTAGAGTATTATGTTAGTTTTAGTCATAAAATCACACAGTCTCCTTAGTTTCATGGACAGCAGAATCTCCCAATCCGATATATCTTGAAATCAGAATTAGTAGCTTTGTCACTTCAACCTGCTGGTCTACTAATATAAGATAATGTCCTTTGGGGAAATCACTTGGAAAGACCTTATTTTTCACGAACATCATTTCATTTAATCTTAAAGTTGCCCTTTAAGAAAGCACAGCTAGACAAGCCAGGGATGAGGGAGTCTTTTCAGAATGGGAAGGAAAGAGAAATACAACTGTGAAACCCAAGAAGGGCTTCTGCCACCCAGTGTTATCTCATTTAGTCCTCTCAATGTGTTCATGTCTATGAGATTAATTCAGTTGCCCTCATTCTACACCCTGAGACGATGCAACTTGCCCAATAGCTTACAACATTCAATCCAGCATTTCTGATCCATAGCCTCCACCATGCCAGCTGCCAACCCACTGTGATCGGTTCGTGTTAGTGCGTTCATTTAAAGATATTTGTGAAGCACCTGGTATTCCTCAGACTTTATGAATAAATAAGAAAAGTAATCAACAAACAGCATTGTAACCTCCTCTTG